TTTAGCTCATGCTCCAAAGTCCTGACTGTAATTGACAGCAACTTCCTCCCTGGTTTCCTAAACTATTAGATAAGAGTGCTGCACTGTTTTAAACCTTTTTGAGTCCAGGACTCACTTTCAAGTGGAGTGTTAAAGAGGCACATGAAAAGAGATTTGGCTTAATTCTAGACCTTTCCTTCCCTCTAGTCTGAATAATTAGCAGAGCAGTCCCCACCTTTGGTACTGGAGTTTGTGTCTAGTGATCCAAAGAGGGAAATATTAAAGAAGCCCGCGCCCAGAGGTGGTGGAGTAAAAAGATTTCTACCCACCTTCTGTGTTTTATGAAATGGGGATAACAATAATGAACTGTGCTGGGTGAGTGCAGACCAATTAGTCCAAGTTTGTAAAGCTCGGAGGCTTATTACAGCTTCCCTGCTCGAGGAGAGTAGGCAGGACCTTCCCGTGACTTTGTATGTGAAGCTAATTGCCCTGGAAATGTCGGGAATTTGATCTTCCATCAAATCCTCCAGCCCTTCAGATCCCTTGACAATCTCAGGCTATTTGCATCTCAAGGTTAAAGGAGGCTGTTGCTTTCTGGATACTAATCAGTTGTGAAAACTTTTGATCTCTTGGAAACGAAAACCCATTGCAATCACCTGATTCTGAGCATGGTGAGAGCTGAACAGAAGAGGAGCAGACAGACTGGCTTTATTGGAATGAATAATGTGTTTAGTAGTTGTGAGCTTTAGTTCTATTTTCCTTAAGGCTCTGTGAGGTCCTGGAGAATCACTTGCTGTTTCTGAGTATTTTTCCCCAAAATTTGATCTGAATTGCATCATATCTGCCCTGGGAGAAATTGGAGAAATTACTGTGATAAAACTCTAGATCATCACAGCTTGTAGATTTAAATGAGAAAAGCTTTGCAGACATATTTTCTGGGGAAAATAGGTATGCTTACACATACATACACACACTGTTTTCCTACAGTGCTATTTTAGCCATTCTAGGTACTTTTTAGGGATGAAAATGATCCTTCTACATCATGGTTTCTCAACAGTGGCAGTGTGGACATTTTGGACCAGGTCATTCTCTGCTATGAGGGGACAGTCCCGGTCCTTGTAGAATGTTTAGCAGCATCCCAGGCCTCTACCTACTAGCACCCTGTGAAATTAATTAAACAAAGAGGCCATTAAACTGAAGTGGTTATAATACCTTAGCAGTCTATGAAAGCAACCACAACTAAGCCTGTAAATGCCCCAAGGTTATGGAATCAAAACCTAAGTTTAACCAAGCACAAAGGCTAAACTAGGCTTTCCCAAATAAGGCAACTGCTTAAGTCATAGCCAATGAAATACTTTCCTTGTACTGCAGAAGACTCATTGGTGCCAGAGGAAGGGAAACACCAAGGTGAAAGCCCCAGAGACTCTGAGGTTGTCATAAACCTTGTCGATCAGGCAGAGTCCCAGATGGAAGGTTCCAGCCATTAAGTAGCCCTGGAGGAAGCTGACATGCTGCCCTTCAGAGAGCCAAGGTGATGACAAAAGACATGCAGACCTAACTGTGCATTTGTGAGTGGAAAATCCATTGTGACAACAGGCTGCATTTGAGTTATCAAATGAACTCGGCCACCTGGCTGGATCTTAACTGCCATGGCACACCCGGAGAACTCAGCAGTGGCTCCAGTCCCAGGCCACCAGTGCCCAGGAAGCAGTTCAGCAATCAGGTCTTTCAAAACCAATTTAGCTCATGCTCCAAAGTCCTGACTGTAATTGACAGCAACTTCCTCCCTGGTTTCCTAAACTATTAGATAAGAGTGCTACACTGTTTTAAACCTTTTTGAGTCCAGGACTCACTTTCAAGTGGAGTGTTAAAGAGGCACATGAAAAGAGATTTGGCTTAATTCTAGACCTTTCCTTCCCTCTAGTCTGAATAATTAGCAGAGCAGTCCCCACCTTTGGTACTGGAGTTTGTGTCTAGTGATCCAAAGAGGGAAATATTAAAGAAGCCCACGCCCAGAGGTGGTGGAGTAAAAAGATTTCTACCCACCTTCTGTGTTTTATGAAATGGGGATAACAATAATGAACTGTGCTGGGTGAGTGCAGACCAATTAGTCCAAGTTTGTAAAGCTCGGAGGCTTATTACAGCTTCCCTGCTCGAGGAGAGTAGGCAGGACCTTCCCGTGACTTTGTATGTGAAGCTAATTGCCCTGGAAATGTCGGGAATTTGATCTTCCATCAAATCCTCCAGCCCTTCAGATCCCTTGACAATCTCAGGCTATTTGCATCTCAAGGTTAAAGGAGGCTGTTGCTTTCTGGATACTAATCAGTTGTGAAAACTTTTGATCTCTTGGAAACGAAAACCCATTGCAATCACCTGATTCTGAGCATGGTGAGAGCTGAACAGAAGAGGAGCAGACAGACTGGCTTTATTGGAATGAATAATGTGTTTAGTAGTTGTGAGCTTTAGTTCTATTTTCCTTAAGGCTCTGTGAGGTCCTGGAGAATCACTTGCTGTTTCTGAGTATTTTCCCCCAAAATTTGATCTGAATTGCATCATATCTGCCCTGGGAGAAATTGGAGAAATTACTGTGATAAAACTCTAGATCATCACAGCTTGTAGATTTAAATGAGAAAAGCTTTGCAGACATATTTTCTGGGGAAAATAGGTATGCTTACACATACATACACACACTGTTTTCCTACAGTGCTATTTTAGCCATTCTAGGTACTTTTTAGGGATGAAAATGATCCTTCTACATCATGGTTTCTCAACAGTGGCAGTGTGGACATTTTGGACCAGGTCATTCTCTGCTATGAGGGGACAGTCCCGGTCCTTGTAGAATGTTTAGCAGCATCCCAGGCCTCTACCTACTAGCACCCTGTGAAATTAATTAAACAAAGAGGCCATTAAACTGAAGTGGTTATAATACCTTAGCAGTCTATGAAAGCAACCACAACTAAGCCTGTAAATGCCCCAAGGTTATGGAATCAAAACCTAAGTTTAACCAAGCACAAAGGCTAAACTAGGCTTTCCCAAATAAGGCAACTGCTTAAGTCATAGCCAATGAAATACTTTCCTTGTACTGCCTCTGTGTCTTATCTCTAAAGGTCTTGCCCCCTGATCCTGTTGGAGGAGGTTCCTGATCACTTTCCTTTTGGCAACTGCCTGATAGGAATTGATTTTTGCTTAAATAAACTTAAAAATGTTAGCATGCTTCAGTTTATCTTTTAATAACCCCCAAGTCATGACAATCAAAAATGCCTCCAGACGTTGCCATGTGTCCCCTGGGTAGGATTACTGGATTTAGCAGTTAAAAATACAAGGTGCATAGTTAAATTTGAATTTCAGAGAGATAATGAATAAATTTTAGAATGGAGTATTAGTAAATGTAACTGTAAATACTTGAGCTTCCCAGGTGATGCTAGTGGTAAAGAATCCACCTGTCGATGCAGGCAATGTAAGAGACTCGGTTCAGTCCCTGGATAGGGAAGATCCCCTAGAGGAGGGCATGGCAACCCACGCCAGTATTCTTGCCTGGAGAATCCTATGGACAGAGGAGCCTGGCAGGCTATGGTCCATACGGTTGTAAAGAGTTGGACATGACTGAAGCGACTTAGCATGCACTGTATTTAATGTGGTAATCTACCTGGGGGGACAGAATCTCCCCCTAGTTATGAACCACTCTTCTAGATAAAGAATTGCATTTATCAGTGAACTCACATGACCAACCACCACATTTTTTTCTTATTCCTGTCCCACTTTTCCTTCTTTCTCATTTCTCTCCCTAATTCCAGCCTTTATGAAACACAATAAAATAAATTACATCGTGGGTGTTACAAATGTTGCTAGCCCTAGGCATGAGAGCAGATAGAAACAAATTGTTATTCTTTATATAATACTGTGATAAAATGGGAGTCAGTCAAAATACAAAAACAGTTTAGGCCATTCAAAAATCATGCTTCTCTAAGCAGAATCCTTACACAAATGGCACAGGACCCAATCAGATAGGCCTTTGAGGATAAGGAACTCTGTGTGCTTCCAAGATCTCTGCAGACCCTTAGAAAGTCAAGCCCAAGGTCACTGTGAGCTTTCCTTTTCACCGTTTCATCAACAGGCATTTTTTGAGCACTGACTGTGTCAACCAGGTGCCGCATGGTGTGCAAATAAGGAAAAGGCTCAGTTTGTGCCTGGTAGAGAAGAAGCAACTTGTCTCTTCATAGAGAGGTACTATTAACAGGTGGCGAATTCCTAGGGTCTAATCAGGTTACAGATGATAAACAAGAGGAGAAACAGGTAACAGTGGGCAGGGTGGGAATCAGGAAAGCTGTTGTCGAATAGTTAAGATGCAAGGGTGTGGAGAGGGAGGTGGGAGGGGGGATCGGGATGGGGAATACATGTATATCCATAGCTGATTCATGTCGATGTATGACAAAAACCACTACAATATTGTGAAGTAATTAGCCTCCAACTAATAAAAAAAAAAAGATGCAAGGGTGGTAGTAGGGTTTGAGGCAGGGGTAAACAGAGCTGTCTGGAGACAGGGAACTGCCTCCTGAGGATCAATGGTTTGGTGCTCAGAGCAGAGCCATAATATGGTGATCCTTTAAATTGACAGTCCTTAGATACTCGTTCAGGATCAGTTTAGAGGCAAAGTGTGATGTATGTGAGGGAAGGACTGAGCTTTTGTTAGCTAGCTTTTGTTAGCCTTCACTCTCTCCTTGATTGTCCCCAACAACTTATTATTGCTCCACTTTTCAAAACAAAACTTAATCAGAGCACCAGCGTAGAGATGATCTCTAGGTACTGAGCCTGCTCCTTTGCAAGATCCTTGCTCTCCACTCCTTCTGTAAGCAACTTATTCACTGTTTCATCCAATTCCATGTGGAGCTTTCACTGAGACAAGATCTCCACTTTCTTATATTTGTCATTGTGTTTCAGGGCCTCTTACAGATGATTCATTGCAAACTTAGTCCCCTGTTAACCCAGCTCTAAAGCTATCAGTATACTATTAATACATACGCTGTGATTAAACCATTTATGTAGTAGTCACTCTTTGAAAGGGTCTTCACCAAATCTTCTGTGAAGGGCTTTCTCTAGTGGTGTCAAAAGAGACAAGATACAGTGGTCCCATAGAAGGCGTGTTAGATTGGGAGGCAGAAAGCTAGTTTTGAATTCTGGATTTGCAGCTAACTTGCTGCAAGTTCCTGTGTTAAGTCACATCCTTGCCTTAGACTTTCATTTCTTCCTCTGAAAATGGAAGGTTGGATTACAGACAGGGTGGCAAAACAGATTTTATCTGACTGATTGGTAGCAGCTCCTTTGAATGCTTCATAGAGAAAGCTTCTTAGATCACATCTGGGCTCTGAAAGAAAGAATAATCAATTAGCACTGTCTATGCTGAACTGAACTGATGCTAGTGGCTCAGGCGGTAAAAAATCTGCCGGCAAAGGGGACGACCCAGGTTCACCGCCTGGGTCAGGTCGATCCCCTGGAGAAGGGAATGACTACTCTAGTATTCTTGCCTGGAGAATTCCACAGAGAAGCCTGGTTGACTACGATCCCTGGGGTCGCAGAGTTAGATATGACTGAGTGACTAACACATACACCATGAGTGATAAAAGGGGGTTGTGGTGGTGATGTTAGCATGGGTGCCTCATTTTTAGTATTCCTTGGTTGAATAGGCTTTAAGAAATTCCAGTCGGAGTCCTGAGACTTAATGCGATTATTGGTTAAATATTCAAAGAGATTTTCTGTATTCAGAATTAGGATTCTGTGAACTTTCTCAAAATTACAGTTGAGTTGTTTAGAGCAGAGGAATAGTTACAATTCTTTGCTTCACTTAGCACAGCTTTGCTTCCAACCTGCCATCAATAGGATCTATACATCTGCGGTTTCTCTTGAAGGAGGGAATTTTTACATTGACAGAGTTCCAGTATCACTAAGCCCTCTAGCCCAGACTGAAATTTTTATTATTAAATGATAGAATTGTAACCAAAACAAATTTAAAGTCAAACAGTATAAATCATATTAAAATGTAAACTACAGGCTTAGTGGAAATATCTGCAAATATTTACCTAAAATACACTTTAAAGATAAAGAACTCCTAAAATCAGCAAGAGACAACTGTGTATAAAAAGAAAAGAATATAAACATAAGTCAAAGAAGAAATATAAACACCTTAACATACAAAATATGTAAAAGACTCAATCATTTTAGTAATCAAAGAAATGAAGCATTAGCAAATAATAGTGTGGACAAGGAAGCAAGGCAGGAAAGAGTGTAAACTGACATAACCATTTTGGAGGACAATTTGGACTCATCTATAAACACTTGAAATGCATATATCCTTGACCCAGCAATTTTAATTCTAAGAATTTATCTTAAAAATACTGGTTAAAATATAAATATAAATATATGTATATGTACATATTCAAGGATATTTGTTGCAGCAATTTTAAACAGCTTATAGGATCACTTAAGTATATATAATCAATAAAGGAACAAAGAAAGCATGACACAGCTATATGCTATACGTGCTAAATTATGCTGGGTCAACTTGGTTTAAATAGAAATCATTTCCCAGATTTCCCTTCCTATATGGTTCTGTGTAAGAGTTGGCCAAAAGAGGCGCTTTTGTGAAATGGGGAAGATGGAAATGAAGAAGTGGCCATTACTCTCAGGGGATTGCTGTGGTCAGCTGTAGTGACAGATGCTGGGAGGGTTCCAGTCTCTTGTGTGCGTGCTCAGTCACTTCAGTTGTGTCCGACTCTTTGTGACCCCATGGACTGTAGCCCCCCAGGCTCCTCAGTCCTTGGGATTCTCCAGGCAAGAATACCAGAGTGGGTTTCCATGCTTTCCTCGGGGGTATCTCCCTGTCCCAGGGATGAAACCCACATCTCCTACCTTGCAGGCAGATTTTTTACTGACTGATCCACCAGGGAAGCCCTTGGTGCTCTCAGGTCCTCGTAACTGTGGGCCCCAGACTCAGTACCAGATGCTTGGCTGTGGACCCACAGAGGCAATAGTAGTACAGAAACAACAGCTTTCAACAGACCTTTCCACAAGCTTCTTATTTGCGGTTATACTTCAGAGGCTGATTGTTCTTGACTTCAGGTTGACGGGTTAGCGGCTCTTCTGATCAACTGGTTTTCCCTACTTCACCTTTATTTCCCAATTTCTTTCACAGTTGTGTAAGATCCAATTTCTATATTAAAGTATTTGTTTTATATACTCAGGGTGAGTGCACTTCCCTGACCGAACCCTCTCTGATACAGCTGTTGGTACTGGAATGGTTCCAGGGAACTGAACCTTAAAGATTAGAATCTGGAATCAGCTCTTTGATCTGATTTGATTTTATGACATAAATGAGCCTGTTGCCAGTGGTAAATGGGACACGGATATATATGGTATATAGTGGCTAATCAGTTACTTAACTGATACCTGGAGCCAAGTGCCTACTATGAAAGATAACAAGTAGCTGCTACCAGAGAACGCTGTAGTGGAAATAAAAATATAAGGACAGCAGAGTTGATTAACTACTTGAAGGGCACCAGAGATTTTGGATAAAGAAAATAATAGGCTCAGGGATTTTAATTCTTAGCTCAAGGGCCAAATAAGGAGACACAAAGCTTCTACAACTTCTCTGAAAAAAAAAAAAAGCTTACCTTTTGTAGCCATGAGGTTAGGTTTTTGAAAATCAAACCAAAAGTCTAATCCTGTGAGTGGCTGAATTAGAACACAAATGGTGTTCACAAATCTTACAAGGTCTTCTATGTTAAATTTATGCTTTGTGTGGGCAGAAGTGGGATCCTGAAAATTAAGGTAGTGATATTTGGGCAGATTCTAGTAATGTTCAGTACTGTGCACATCTATTTTTTAAAAATATTGGTATAATGAGTTCAGTTGCTCAGTTGTGTCCAATTCTTTGTGATCTCATGGACTACAGAACGTCAGGTTCCCCTGTCCATCATCAACTCCCAGAGTTTGCTCAAACTCATGTCCATCAGGTCAGTGATGCCATCCAACCATCTCATCCTCTGCTGTGCACATCTCCTCCTGCCTTCAATCTTTCCCAGCATCAGGGTCTTTTCTAATGAGTCAGTTCTTTGCATCAGCTGGCCAAAGTATTGGTGTTTGAGCTTCAACATCAGTCCTTCCAATGAATATTCAGGATTGATTTCCTTTAGGATTGACTGGTTTGATCTACTTGCAGGCCAAGGGACTCTCAAGAGTCTTCTCCAACACCACAGTTCAAAAGCATCAGTTCTTCAGTGCTCAGCTTTCTTTATAGTCCAACTCTCACATCCATACATGACTACTGGAAAAACCATAGCTTTGACTAGATGGACCTTTGTTGGCAAAGTAATGTCTCTGCTTTTTAACATGCTGTCTAGGTTGGTCATAGCTTTTCTTCCAAGGAGCAAGCGTCTTTTAATTTCATGGCTGTAGTTACCATCTATTTGATTTTGGAGCCCAAGAAAATAAAATCTGCCACTGTTTCCACTATTTCCCCATCTATTTGCTGTGAAGTGATGGGACCGGATGCCATGATCTTGTTTTTTTGATGCTGAGTTTTAAGCCAGCTTTTTCACTCTCCTCTTTCACCTTCATCAAGAGACTCTTTAGTTCCTCTTCACTTTCTGCCATTAGAGTGGCATCATATGCATATCTGAGGTTATTGATATTTCTCACGGCAATCTTAATTTCAGTTTGTGATTCATTCAGTCCGGCATTTTGCATAATGTACTCTGCATAGAAATTAAATAAGCAGGGTGATAATATACAGTCTCTACACACTCCTTTCTCAATTTTGAACAAGTCCATTGTTCCACGTCTGGTTCCAACTATTGCTTCTTGACCTGCATATAGATTTCTCAGGAGACAAGTAAGGTGGTCTGGTATTCCCATCTCACTAAGAATTTTCCAGTTTGTTGTGATTCACACAGTGTAAGGCTTTAGCATAGTCAGTGAAGCTGTGTTTTTTTTTTTTTTGGAATTCCCTTGCTTTTTCTATAATCCAACAGATGTTGGTAGTTACATCTCTGGTTCCTCTGCCTTTTCTAAATCCAGCTTGTACATCTGAAAATTCTCAGTTCATGTATTGTTGAAACTTAGCTTGAAGGATTTTGAGCATTACCTTGCTGCCACGTGAAGTAGGTACAATTGTGCAATAATTTGAACATTCTTTGGCATTGACTTTCTTTTGGATTGGAATGAAAACTGACCTTTTCCAGCGTTGTGGCCACTGCTGAGTTTTCCAAATTTCCTGGCATATTGAGTGCAGCACCTTAACAGCACCATCTTTTAGGATATGAAATAGCTCAACTGGAATTCCATCACCTCCACAGGCTTTGTTCATAGTGATGCTTCCTNAGGGCTACTCCATTTCTTCTAAAGGATTCTTGCCCACAGTACTAGATATAATGGTCGTCCAAATTAAATTTGCCCATTCCTTTCCATTTTAGTTCAGTGATTCCTAAAATGTATATGTTCATTCTTCCCGTTCTTCCCATTCCCAGTTCATTCTGCCTGCTTGACTATGTCCAATTTATCTTGATTCATGGACTTGACATTCCAGATTCCTATGCAAAATTGTTCTTTATGGCACTGGAGTTTATTTTCACCACCAGACACATCCACAACTGAGCGACATTTCCACTTTGGCTCAGCTTCTTCATTCCTTCCAGAGTTATTTCTCCACTCTTCTCCAATAGCATATTGGATACCTACTGACTCAGGGGACTCATCTTCTGGTGTCATATCTTTTTGCCTTTTCATATTGTTCATGGGGTTATCAAGGCAAGAATACCGAAGTGATTTGTCATTCCCTTCTCCAGTGGAACACGTTTTGCCAGATCTCTCTACCATGACCTGTCCGTCTTGGGTGGCCCTGAACGGCATGTCTCATAGCTTCCTTGAGTTTCACAAGGCTCTGATCCATGTGATCATTTTGGTTAGCTTTCTGTAATTGTGGTTTTTGTTCTGGAGGCTGTGGGATTATAGTTCTTGCTTCCTGATGGGAAGGATTGGCTATGGGCAAAACTCGGTCTTGCTCTGGTTGGCAGGACCATGCTCAGTAAATCTTTAACCCAATTGCCTGGTGATGGTGGATCTGTGCTCCCTCCCTGTTAGTTGCTTAGCCTGAGGCGACTCAGTCCTGGAGTCTACAGGATCTAAGGTAGGGCTACTGGTGACCTCCAAAAAGGACTTATGCAAATACGCACCTCCCAGTACCGCTGCTGCCAGGGCCCCCGTCCCCATGACAGGCCACTGCTGACCCGCACCTCTGCAAGAGACCCTCAAACACTCAAAAGCATGTTTGGCTCAGTCTCTTGTGTGGTCACTACCCATTTCCCGTAGGTTTTGGCGCACACAAGATTTTTTTGTGTGTCCTCCAAGAGTCTCTGTTTCCCTCAGTTCTGTGGAAGTTCTGTAATCAAATCCCCCTGTCCTTCAAAGTCAGATTTCCTGAGGATTCCCAGTCCTTTTGCCGAATCCTCAGGTTGGGAAGTCTGATGTGGGGCATAGAACATTCGCAGTAGTGGGAGAACTTCTTTGGTATTGTGCTCCAGTTTGAAACAACTGATGGATGTGAACTTTTTCTTTAAGGGAAATTCATGGTAAGCCACTGGGGAAGTGACAATTCCTGAAGAGTGAGTCTTTAAAAATGTGAAAAATGTATCTTAAAATAACTTGGTCTTTGAACCTTGAGATCTGTTTAAAAATCTGTGAAACTTACACACTGGTGGAGGGATGTTTGAAAGGTTCTAAAGGTATTTGCCAGCTTCTCCCCACTGGTTAATGTTGCTCTTGGTCCTGACAAGTAGGGACATGCTGTTCAGCCTCTCCATGTAGCTAGACGACACCTGCCTGGTGCCCTGGTCATGCCTCTGCCGGTCCTCCTTGAACGTATAAACCTTCACCTGCCGCAGGGTGTTGGTCCAAGTGCTGCCTGAGGGGGTTGGAGCAAATGTTCCACCAGAGTCTCTGGAAAGGGGGCCCAAGGAAGGCGGGAGCTGAGGTAGGAGGATGCCCTTGGGTAGAGGGTTCACCAGCCTCACTGCCGCTTATGCCCACTCCAGGGTTATTCTTCTACCTGTGTGGCAGTCTGAGCTCTGGCCCCTGCCTTTCATAGATAAATTTATTTGTGTCACATTTTAGATTCCACATATAAGTAATATGATATGATAGTTGTCGTTCTGACTTGTTTCACTTAGTATGATAATCTCTAGTTCCATCCATGTTGCTGCAGATGGCATTATTTCATTCTTTTTTTAATTACTGAGTAATATTCTGGTGTGTGTGTGTGTGTGTGTGTGTGTGTACACACATGTATACCTTTTTAAACCATTCATCTATTGATGGACAATTAGGTTGCTTCTCTATCTTGGCAATTATAAATAATGCTGCTATGAACATTGGGGTGGGTGCATGTATCTTTTTGAATTAGTGTTTTTGTTTTAGGATATATACCCAGGAGTGGAATTGATGAGTCATATGGTAGTTCTATTTCCGTTTGAGAAATTTCCATTTTGTTTTCCACAGTAGTTGCATCAATTTTCCTTTTCTCTGCATCCTTGCCAACATTTGAGATTTGTTGAAACTCCACATTTTGCTGGACCTTTCTAGTTAGTAACAGTGATCTTTCAAGTTGGAGAAGTCCCATTTCCCTTGACTGAAGTACCTATAAGAGCCTCTCTTGAAGTGGTAGCTTTATAATAGAATGCCACTCCTTCTCATTACCTACCTCCTATCACTCTCATTGCTTATAGACTTAACCCAAACTTAGTTTTGTCAGGAGTCAGGAGGTAAGGTACAAAGTATAACTCATGGGGAAGGATCGTAAGTGCCAACAATTTTGAAAGATTTTGTATATATAGAAATCTAGGGAATATGTTAGGGAATGAATCTGGATGGGTGAGAGTAAAAGGAATATTATACCAGATCTGATCAAATTTATAAGTTTGGATGCACAAGGCAGAAATTTTGTATTTGACATGGGGTGGAATGAGGGAAGCACTGGACCCACTATGAGATAACCCTGAGTCAAAAGTCTGTTTTCTAATGGGTAGAATCATGCATCATGCCTTTCCAAGAATTAGTGTTATTTCAGGAATCTCTAAAACCCAACACTATCTAACTTCCTACAGAAATGGGGAAAAAAAAATCGATATATGTATATGTACACACACACATACATAGTTCATGTTAATTTATTCATTTACAAAAGTCTGGAAAGCCTCATCAGTTCAGTTCAGTTTCTCAGTTGTGTCCGACTCTTTGCAACCCCATGGACTGCAGCATGTCA